GTCTTGATGTCCGCATGGATACTTTCACCAAGTAGTTAGATGCTTCGCATTCCCAATGTGAAAATCTTATTCATGCGAACATGCCCATTTTTCTTTAATGTTATATAATCTTTGCAACTAATCATGATCATGCACATCATGCTGTTCAAGAAGGTTTCTCCAACCTTATTCAAATTCTACTTCATCTTATAGCCATAAGTACACTTTCAAAAATCACTTACAAAACTAGATTCATCCTTCATCAAAATTCCTAGGTGCTTGCTACCATTCTATTTCAAGTGCCATGAACATAGAGTAATGAGCATTGTTTTAAAAATCGAACTAAATCAAATGGTTGGACTAGTGGGGCAGTCTATCGGAGTCATTAACGACTAGGTTTAGACCAAAAAAATCTTTTTGATGATTGAGGTAGATTGAACCAAAATTGAGCCACTATTAAACCGAAAAATTAGAGTTGAATAGGGAATCGGAACAGTTTTTAAACATAATATTTAAAAAAAATTTAAAAAATTCAAAAATGAGATACTTGCTAAAAGCCAATTTTATTTTTGGATACTTCACATGCATAAAATATGATTTGAGACATTATTTTATAAAAATATTAACAATTATAACTACAAATACAGATATTTTGAGTCTACTCATATTTAATTTAATTAAGATCTATCTATATTTAATAAGTTATAAAATTATAATTTATAATATTGTTAATTTATGGTCACATTATGTTATTTTATTAACATATTATAGATTTGTTTTTATATTTATTTTATATATATAATTAATATTATTTTTTTTAATCATTACATCATTAGTCTAATCCTGTTAGAACTTAAAAATTGAGATCGTTGGCTTTTTCAATTCAGTGTCGAGTTCAACTTTTAAAACATTGGTGATAAATATTAGGCATGACCTCCTGAATTGCTTTGGCCATTGTTGGATTTTGATCAGTGAAAATTGTCTAAGGCATTTTCCCTTTATTTGCCTTTAAAAATGTCTCCAATAAACACTTATATGAGTCTGCTGTTTCATCATATAATATAGCAACCTCGAAAATCAATGCACCTCGATGATGATTAAATCCTGAGAACATTGCCATGGTCTAAGCAAACTATTAGTACAATGGATGTAGCATCAAGTGAGATCCCATCACCAAAATACTCTTAATCAATCATTATTCTTGCTTATGCCCATAACACATTAGCTAAAAGTTCTTTTGAATCCATTTGATAAGAATGATAGAATGTAGAGTATTCAACCACTTTACTCTAGACATATTCTATTAATAACTTGCTTCCCCATATTCCAAACTTCTTTGTCTTCTAGTCTGAAGATAATTTTTTGGATCAAGTTGAGTGACACTCGATTTACGTCTACCCCCTGCTTGCTTACTCAGCAAATCAAATGACTTCTTTTGTTTCAAACCAACATCATTTGCCTGATCAATTTGATGGCCTTGAGTTTTAGAAATCTTTCATTGACTCAGCAACATATGGACGTTTCTTTTAGTTGAAGAATGTGGTTATAGTCCTCCACAAAATCATGCGCTTTAAATTTACCATTTACATTGAGAAATCCTATCCTCGCTTTACAATTTGTTCTAGTTTCTGGTCTAGGATTTTTGGTCTTATAATCTCGTTTGTCTTCTTTCCTCAACCCTCCTTTACAACAAACAAATATAACTACCCCGATCGTTTCATCTTTTTTGTGTTTAATGTATTGTTTCCTAACTCCAAATTACCTTCCCACCATAAGCAACCAAAAATTCCAAGCATTGTCGAGGCTATCAAATCTCATCCCCCCTTCAGTTTCCAATCGTCTTCCATAGAGAACCTATGAGTATACGTTATCAAAATTTTCAAATCAATTCACAAATAATATTATTTATAATATATATTGTATTGAGACAAAAGACTTATATATTGTCAATTTCAATGACGTTTTATAGTTACCTCTTTGTTTTAAAATAGTTTGCTTTTGAAGATTTAAACACTAACAATAATAAAATACATGGAAAATGAAAGAAAAACTGTAAGAGAAAAAAAGGATATAGAAGATCAGACAATGTATAGCAAGTTATCAAGAAATAAAATACATACTTTGTATTGAACCTTTAACAAATAAGATAATATATATTAAAATTTAGAAGAGCCACCTTTAGGGTGTAGAAACTTTCCAAATATTGGCATATTTGATCGATATTATTTGTACGGTTTTGTCATGGCATTAATCATTCAAAATAATAATAATAATAATAATAATAAAATAGGTAGTGGGATGAATATGCTGTAAGGTATACTCTTATCTGTCGAAACAGAAACGTCCTCGTTGGTTGTGAACCAACGCACCAGGAAGCTACGGGTAGAGAGTAAGTGGGATGAATATGCTCTGAAAGTTGACAACCCTTTCCCTCGGCGTACTGGTTTTTTGAGTGGATCTCCCTATGCGTACTTTGTTTACAGGTTGCTGCGAAGATTTGGAAGAGAAGAAATAAGTATTTTAGTGGTATAATAATGGGAGTTTTTGCATCAATCAATGTCAGGACCAGGTTCTCTCTTGGTGAGAACTCATTCGAGTCCCTCCTACCTTCACAATGGTGGGGTGGGAACAACCAGGAGATGTGGTTTGAAGAAAAGACACTGAACCGACACCTAATGGCCACATTGCACATACGTACTTGGCAATGTCTTGTACTCTCGTCCAAGGCTTACTGTCAGAAGGGGGTAGAAGTGTGGAGCATTAAAAACCTGTATGTTTTAGAGTGATCAATTGAGTTAATAGCAGTTATCTGATGAACAAGGCTCGAAAATTAATTATACCAAGGATAGTAATTTAGCTAATCATGCATTCATGCTAATAGAGGTTTTTCCCTTTTTGATTGAAAAAAGAGGGACAAAGTTCACTCAGCATAATAAATCGGACGAGTATGAGAAAGGCCTTTCTTAAATTCTCGCTTGCGCGGGCCACCGTACAAGCAAGCAAGCATGCTTTACCCCCGAACCACAGTTATCTTCTTTTTCTGGGGCCAGCAAAGAAAAACAAATTTCATTACTAAAAAAACCAGTTTGCAAACTCCAGCACCAAAACAAATAAGACACATCAAATACATAAAAATAGCATCAACCTAAATCATGGAACCCAATCCTGTCAGCGTCCAAAAGTAGTTGAAGAGGAATTGAAGGTCTCAAAAGTCAAAACCAAGTTGTTACGACTCAATTTAATCGCTACTAGCAAGCTTCCCTCTTGAAGATGGTTTTCCTCTCCCCAACAACTGTGGAACTCCAATGATGCTTCAAGTTTAAACAAAGCCCAAATCAAAACACCCAAAAAAAAAAAAAAGAATAGAAGTTAATTTTTATTACACAGAGATGTGATTATTAATCTGAAGAATTTGTATGGTCATTTAAAATTGGGGATGGGATGGGATGAGGAACTCTAAGATCTAGCTTTAATTTATTATTGTTGATTTTATCCTCCTGACTGGTCGCTGATCAACGTATCTTAAACAGCTAACATCAACAAATAATTATTCTATGTCTGAGATGATTAATGATCTATAAGCTAAAGAGCAAAGTTCATCCCGTGACTCGTTTTATCTGCTTAGTGGACACTATCTTCCTCCCCATTACCAGGCTTACCTCTTAGATGGACGCGTTATGCCCATCCTGTGTCATCCTCGTCCACTGGCTTACCCCAATTCCCACAAAAGCTTTATCGTTGCTCACTTCACTTTTTGTTCATTCTATTTTAAGAGCAATTTATTATGCGTGTACAAATGTAAATAAAATTTCGAGATATTGCTCTTCACCCCGTCTTAACGAAACACGGGTATTCTTTCAGAAAACGAAAACAAAACAAAACACGGGTATAATTGGAATCTCCCTCGCTCGCTCACACACACACAGTCACCCACACACAGATTTTATTACAGAGAGATGTGAAGTACAACAAGACAAGCGGCTACGTAGCGTGTAAAGATAGTTATAATATAATAAATTATTAAAATATATATACATATACATATACATACATACACACATATATATTAATATCTATATCAAAACTTACAGAAAATTGATTACATTATTTACAAGTGATGAATATTACATAGAAAATTGAATATGTTTACTTGCTCTGATCCTATTTGTAGGACACATTTTAAAAGCATTTTTTTATTCAAAATATAGATATTTTGTAATAATTAAATAAATTTTTTTAATTTTATTCTTTTTTGATTAACATGAAGTTATTTAATGTAGATTATATCATAATTTAAAGGCAAGGGTAAAAAAAAAAATTATATCATTCTTTTATGAAATAAAAAAAATAACCTTTTAATGTGTGAAAAAATTAAAAGTACCCTACAATAAGAATTGAGAGTAATTATGAATACAATTAGTATGCTACTCTACGGTCCCTAATATTTAGTTAACCATGCCAATAGAATTTCTTTCTTCCTGTTTGATTGAAAAAAGTAAAGTGCATGCTTAACCCCCGAACCACAGTTGTCTTCGTTTTTGGGGGGCCAGCAAAGAAAACGAAACTTCAATAATTAAAAAAAAAAAAATGCAGTTTGCAAACGCCAGCACCGAAACAAATAATACACAGCAAAACACTACCAAAAGTCAGAAACATAAAAGTAGCATCATCCTAAATCATGGAGCCCAATCCTGACAGCGTCCAAAAGTAGTTGAAAGAGGAAGTGAAGGTCTCAAAACCAAGTTGTTGCGACTCAATTTCTTTACTAAAGCCTTGAAGATCCAATCAACCACCAAGCATGCTTCCCTCGTGAAGACGGTTTTCCTCTCCCCAGCAATTGTGGAACTCCAATGATGCTTCAACTTTAAACAAATCCCAAATCAAAACACCCCAAAAAAAAAACAAACAAACAAACAAACAAACAACGCAAGAAAGATAGAAGTTAAATTTTAGAGCACAAGCACAGCTAATATTCCATAAAGACGCTATACAGCACTGGCTGCCATACCATTCACAAAATGTAATCTTCAAATGGCATCCCCCATATTCATTCATCCATTATTAAACAACCAAGAGTCCAGATTCCTGGTTGCTCAGAAGTAATTACACAAGAACTTCTTTTTTTCTCCTTTTTTTGAGAGGTACGGCGTTGGTTCCAAACACAGTAGTATTTGAACTGCCTGTGATATACACGTTATGTACAAACATTTGCTAAGCACTTATTCCTAAGTACCAGATATTTTACACTTAAAAAAGAAAATTGCGTATTTAAATGTTCTGTATGCCAATCTGGCACATCTGCGAGGATGATGCTGCACTTCTATCTCAAATATAATGACCATCATCATCTCCAAGCAGAGAGAGCGAGAAGGGAGCAACAGCCACGTTAAATGATGATGAGCCTATTCTATCAACGTGTATCATCTCAAAGTCACCTTCCTGCATTATAATAATGACAACCAGACTTGAGGCACGTTTTTCTGTTGAAAGGAAACGTATCTGGAAAAGGTAACGCTTGATGGTTAAAATAATCATGCTTCATGAACAAAATAAGCAGATGTAACAAGTGGATCTAAATCAAGTTAAAAGAGTCTAATATGGAGTTAATTTCCATTTTCCTCCCTTTAAGCCAAAATCATGGCATCCACAGCAATTCAATGTGTGGTAATAAACAAAGTTGTCATGAGATAATAGAAAGAAGAGATGCATCCAATCATCTAGCTCATATGGAATACAAGTGTCTGGGGACTAAATTGAGAGGCCTTATCATTTGAAACACCATATTGAAAGAAGAGTGATTTCAGACGCTAAAGACATAGACTTCATCTTTAGAAGATTAAATTTAAAGAAAATAATCTTTCAAGAAGTGTAAATCATTAGTTTACTATAAATTTTACATAAAGGAACAAAGCATAAAAATGAGTCTTACCATTCTACCATTCGGTGTGCTTATGGGACATGCTGAAGAGTACTCAAAACTAGTCCTAGGAAGCATTACAGGCTGCTCACCAACAACTCCCATTCCCCTGTCATAATTGGAAAAAAAAAAAAAAAGTACAAGATTATGTTGAACTTGAATGGCCACGGATTTAAACATATAAAAAGCACCAAGAAAGTTTCAAGAAAGAAAGATTGCCAAGAAGTAATTAAACACACAGCATTTCTGACTTCCCATTGCATCATTACAATGTAATCTTCAAATGGCATCATATTCATTCATCTTATAACAAAAAAGCTCAAAGTAATTACACAAGAACTTCTCTTTTCTCCTTTTTTTGAGAGGTACGGCGTTGGTTCCAAACACAGTAGTATTTGAACTGCCTGTGATATACACGTTATGTACAAACATTTGCTAAGCACTTATTCCTAAGTACCAGATATTTTTCACTTAAAAAAGAAAATTGCGTATTTAAATGTTCTGTATGCCAATCTGGCACATCTGCGAGGATGATGCTGCACTTCTATCTCAAATATAATGACCATCATCATCTCCAAGCAGAGAGAGCGAGAAGGGAGCAACAGCCACGTTAAATGATGATGAGCCTATTCTATCAACGTGTATCATCTCAAAGTCACCTTCCTGCATTATAATAATGACAACCAGACTTGAGGCACGTTTTTCTGTTGAAAGGAACGTATCTGGAAAAGGTAACGCTTGATGGTTAAAATAATCATGCTTCATGAACAAAATAAGCAGATGTAACAAGTGGATCTAAATCAAGTTAAAAGAGTCTAATATGGAGTTAATTTCAATTTTCCTCCCTTTAAGCCAAAATCATGGCATCCACAGCAATTCAATGTGTGGTAATAAACAAGTTGTCATGAGATAATAGAAAGAAGAGATGCATCCAATCATCTAGCTCATATGGAATACAAGTGTCTGGGGACTAAATTGAGAGGCCTTATCATTTGAAACACCATATTGAAAGAAGAGTGATTTCAGACGCTAAAGACATAGACTTCATCTTTAGAAGATTAAATTTAAAGAAAAATAATCTTTCAAGAAGTGTAAATCATTAGTTTACTATAAATTTTACATAAAGGAACAAAGCATAAAATGAGTCTTACCATTCTACCATTCGGTGTGCTTATGGGACATGCTGAAGAGTACTCAAAACTAGTCCTAGGAAGCATTACAGGCTGCTCACCAACAACTCCCATTCCCCTGTCATAATTGGAAAAAAAAAAAAAAGTACAAGATTTATGTTGAACTTGAATGGCCACGGATTTAAACTATAAAAAGCACCAAGAAAGTTTCAAGAAGAAAGATTGCCAAGAAAAAGATAATTAACACACCAGACATTTTCTGTCTTCCCATTTGCATCAGTTATAATCCAATGCCTTCTAAGAAGTTGAACAGGGCGGTCAGAATTGTTCGTAATTCTGATTCTGTATGCAAAAAAGTAGAGTCCCTTTGAAGGCTGACTTCTGCCCTCTATATATACACTTCTAACTTGAACCCTGATTCCCTGTATAAGTGGAAATTTAATTTTAGGAGCTTGGATTTATTTAGTCACAAGAATGCAGTTTCTTAAATAATATAGATGTAACCATGCATTCGGTAGTAAATTATCTTAATGAATGACCATTTATTTGGGCTGATTGCACTTGTCCTCCACACACTATTTAATATTTAACAAAATAAGAGGTTGGGAAACAAAGAGCTGCTAGTGGAAACAAGTACTGGGCATACCAAGGTTGTTGCATTACTGGAACATTTCAAGAGACCGTGTGGACCAATTTCTCTAAGCTCATCGCGATATTTTGCCGCGTCCTATTTGAAAAAACGAAAACAGATACTCAAAAGGTGGATTTACGGTAAAATCATGCATGCCCTATCTCCGTGAAATGAAAGATGACATATGTGCTGATTAAAAGAAAAGGAACAACGAATGAGCCTTCTCTATAAAATTTCTTTCACAATAAGCACCAAAGTGTAATGCAAAGTAAACCTTCAAACATGGTCATGAAAACTAAAACAAAATTGACAACATAGCATTTCACTCAGCCATAAAATAAATGTACATACTTCACAAAATGAGAAATTACACTGCCTGCATTGAAAACATAATCAATATTTAATGATTTAATTGAAGCTTGGGAGAAAACAAGGCTGAGAGACAAGTAGATACCGTGAACCTCTCGTCAGCAATTGCTTTTTTCATTAATCTCCGCAAACGCAAAACTGGCTCCTCCTCTTCAAATGATTTAATCGAGTCACGAATCCTCGCTGCTTCCTTGTAGTCCTACAAGCCAGAAGGAAATTTCAACTAAAATATAATGACATTCGATCCGAAGGAAATTATCCGACGAGAAAACTAATTGAACACTAACCTCGGATTTCGCAGCGCGCTCCATTTGCTGTTTTAAGAGGGCATAGGTGTGGCTTCGAGACAAAAACGAGCTCGGACTCGCACTTTGACTCGTACTACGACTCTCCCCTCTCCCATTCTCATTCCTCTCTGCAGTGCAAGCTACGATTCCATTCGTTCCCTTCAGGTTCCTGCAATTGACCCAATTCCTCTTTACTCGGGTCTCGGTACCGAAGAAATCAGCTCCCCTGCGACCCGGCAAACGCAAATCCATGAGAGCCTTGGAACTTAATGATTGCATTGCCCTGTGCTGCAATAGTCTCGAGATTTTTCAGTGCTCTAAAAAATTCCCGGAAAAAATGCGAAAGAAATCCAATCGTGGCGGCAGCTTTAACTGTATTAGCTTGAGGAATCTCCTTGTTATCTTGTTTCTCCAAGTTTTCTTGAGGCTGCCAACGATATTCTCGGGCTACGCTATTCTTTTGGGGGGTTTTTGCCTGGATAGGCAAATTAGCCATTATACATTTAAGGACTTTCAAATCAAAATGAACCAATATCTGTCTTGGATTGTGTCTGAACCACAACAATGGCATCGAAACTTTGGTGCACCGAGATCCACGTGCCCATTTTATGTTGGCAACTTGGCATGCATTTTTTTTCTTTAATTTATAATTTTTAACCATTTAGCTTTGCATGTTCCTTCACTTTAAAAATATAAAATATTTTTAATTAAATTTTATTTTTAATAAAGTAATTATTTACTTTTTTAACTAATCTTATCTTTTTATATTTACCTCTATTAAATATCTTATAATAAATATAAAATTATTATCAATAGGGACACTTTTAAAAAAAATTCAATGATTACATCTCGAAATACTAAAAATATCTTACATTTTTAATCATCCAACTTTTCAAAAAATACCTTACATTTTTAAATGGAAGGAGTAATATTTTATTTTAATATTTAATTTTATAAAATATATTTTTAATTATTTAATTTTAATATTATTAATTTTATTATAAAAAATATTTATATTAAACTTTTTAATATTAATGCAATATCTTAAAATATTGATTTATTAAATGTAGCTTTTTCAAAATAACAATTATTGTCACAATATTAATCATTTAAAATTAATTAGAGTTCAAAAATAAAAATATATTTTATCAAATTAAGAGAGAAAATTGAAACTTTATACTCCCTCTAATCTAAAATGTAAACATTTTTTCAGCTAATTTTAATTTAAAATATAAATAACCTAATACATGTAAAAATAATTTTTTATTTTACTTTTATATTTATTAACCTAGATTCTTAGATAAATTTACCTCTCGCTCATCATGAATTGCCTTGATAATTGAGATTATGAATAAAAAGAGAAAACAATATACTCCCTTTGGTTCTATAGATAAGATGCATTTTAGAAGTAACTTTTAGTTCAAAATATAAAACATCTTGTATTATTATTTAAAGTCAAGAAAAAAATGAAAGTGTATATCACTTTTTTATGATATAAAAAAATAATTTTTTTAAAATATGTGAAATGATTAAAAATATTATATAATAAAGATAAAAGAGAGTATCTATTTTTATGAAAATGAAGGCTTTATTGGTTTGTAGATTTTTCTTAAAAACTATTAATATTTTGAGGGAGTATAAAGTTAGAGGACCAAACATATAATTTAACTTATATTCTTTTCAATATTTATTATAAGATACTTTTATTTATTTCACGTAACTCAAAAAAAATTAATTTTTTTTTATATTATAAAAGTGAGATCTACTTTTGTTTTTAATATTAATTTTAAATTATGATACAATTATGTTAAACACTTTCAAGTTCATTAAAAAATAAAATTACAAAAATAATTTAATTATTATAATATATCTTATATTTTAAATTAAAAATTACTTTTAAATAGTGTTTTGTAAATATAACAGGAGGGAGCATTATTTTGTGATGTTTGAGAAATAATAGTAACTTCAAAGTTCAAGCGAGAGCCACACTTATGCCTGTTTAATTTTTAAAAAGATGACTATAGATATTCTTAAAATATATAAATGATAAATAGATATAATGAAATATGATACCCTCCTTTCAAAAAAAAAAACATTTTTAAGATATTAAATATTAAAAAATATAAAATATTTTTACTCCATTAACATATAATTATTATTATTTTTAAATATTTTATTAAATAAATTATATTATATTTATTTTAAGATGATGTATCTATTAAATAAAAATAAATGTAAAAATATGAAGTTAATATAAAGATAAATATTTGAAAGTATATGAGAACTTCTCCGTCATTTTAATTTTTTTTAAAATGACATATTTGGGGTCCGAAACCATCAATCTCAGTTTCTTCCTCCTCCATTAACGCCATAATCTTTCTTCCTCCTCTCCTTTGATTTGTCGTTACTTGTTCCCTCGCCTGTACTTCCAGACAATGTCTTTTCCGAGATGCTCAAACATAACGTGTTTGCAGGATTGAGACGGAGAAAAGGCTTTGGCCTCTGGTGCTCTGCAGCTGCTGGATTTGGCTTCTTACTCGCTTCATCCTTCTTCTTCCTGTGCTCGATTTCCATTTCTTGTTTCATAAGTTTGCAGAACAAGTTTCCGATTCGGGGATCTCAAAGTTGAAGAGCACTCTCGCCCTACTCTTCACCTGAAGATGGGAAACGACTCTTTTGGGTGAAGGCAGAAAACTACCATTGTGAGATTGAAATGATAGTGTTAAGCCCTGTTCTAATTCCTCCACTCCCCAATGCATTGGAGTAAGAAGCTTCATGTAAAAGGGGAGGAGGAGGGAGAAGAAGAAAGGTGGCGACATTGTAGAGGAGGAAGGAAACTGGGTATTGAGTTGCGGTGTATTCATGTCCTGGGAGGGCAAATATGCCGTGATATCTATTTTTCAAGAATATTTACTATCATTTTTTTTGGGGGGGTAAAGATCACTTTTTTTTATTTTTGATCTGATGGAGATGATGGAGACAACTGTTTGTTTTTACCATGTGAAATAAATAGGAAAGTGAAATGGAAAAGACTCGAACGGCCAAACCCCCGTTAACATTTTTTAGATTCCTTGGCCATTTTTTTACTATATCGCCTTAGATCACAGATGCTGTCAATTATTTATTTATTTTTGTATATTCTATCTAACTCTTTCCCATGTGAAAGGGGACCCCCATGTACAATGTAAGCATACGTCACCATACCGGACAATAAACCCGCACAACATACAACTATTTTTGTCCCCATTTAACAACATGGAGGTTTAATTCTTGAACCTCTTGTATAATCCTGACGATGGGTGGCTATCAATTCTTTATAAAGCTACATGTTACTGTGAACAACTTAGGCATTGGCAATGTATTTTTGCTGGATTGTTCTTACTTTGTCAATATATTAAACTAGACCTCATTTGATATATGGAAGAGCTTTTTTAGTTTTGATATTGAAATTAAAATTAAAATTAAAATTGAAATAAAATTGAGTTATAAAGGATGTTTGATATAAAAATAAGACATTAATATAATGTCAACTGAAAACATATCTAAAGTAGGAAAAACTAGAATGCTCCTTTCAAAATTTTGATTTTTTTTTTTTTAAACTTTGATCTGCCAAAGAATGAACATTGGCAACCAGACCCAAAATCTCCTTTGCGAACATACGGACCATCTTACTCATATGAAGCAGTCGACCACTATGAAGAACCGTGATGACTAGAACCGTTTTCACAACCTAGAAGAACTCGAGATTTGCAAATAGCGTCGAACAAAGACAATCTTGGACGATGGACAAAGGAACAATGGTGATGGTGATTTGCAAGGAGAGGAGTTGAAGGGTGAAATAGAGATCTATAGATGGCCCCTTTCTAGGGCGGAAGAGGGTTGACGAGTGAAGCAAGATAAGATTAAAAAGGACTCCATGAATAGCTACTCAATTACAGGGGAATAAAACACAGCCTTAGATTTATAAATGTACATCACTTGCTTCTTTGCTAGCAGGATTTGAAATGAATGAGTTTTGAGAGGGGAGCATATATTCAAGCTTAGCATTTTTAATTGCCGAATTCAGATCTCAGAGACTCGGACAATTATAATGCGAACAATTATAATGTGTTCTGTTATGCTAGATGTTATTTTGAGGAGATAAGAGGGGGGAGGGGGGAGGATTGCTTGATCATCTGCAGAATTATATATATGAAAACGTTGTGGCCAAGTATCCCATACTATAATTAAATACCACTGATCTTATGGTATATGCTTGTGTTGTGGCGTAATTTTCACATTGTATATTACTTAATGCTTAAAATGTTGGGTGCAAGGTTATATATATGTATATATATTTACGAGTTAATTAAAAAACAAGAATACTATGTAAAGATATTTTTATGAGAAAAAAAACAGTTATTCGATTTATAGTTCACATTCATTTTTAATTCATTAAAAATATACATGTTTCTTTTATACTATTTAAAATAATTATTTTAACAAGATATACACCTAACGTATTACACAAAAATGATGTAAATCAACATTATTTATGACTTTTAATAAAATTTACAGCTCCAACTAAATTATGCGTGTTTGTGTGAAATAGATTGATTAAACATCAGTATCAATCTGCATCAACGAAACTCAATCTATTTATACTCCACAAGAAATCTTGTTATTAACAACGATGATTACATTCTTATCTCAAATTTTGTGGGTAATGCACATGATCCATGTTTTGTTTTGATGAATGCCAAAAACCGTCAATGCCAACGCATATCGATTTCATTAAGTGTATCATCAGAACAGAAGCATTAGCCATTGAAGAATGCAACTCAATTTTGCTTTTATACAATGCGCAAGAATTACAGAACACCCGAAGATATCAAAGTTGCTTTTTGATATTTCAGGTGTCATTCTCTGCCATTACTATTCATTTTTCCGATCGCGCTTTTAGCACGACCTTAGACTGTTAGACGCTCATGAAATCAACACATAATCTGTCATACATATTTACAATAACCATTCTATTTTAATACATTAAAAAGAATTATATCTTTATTCACACAGAAATTCATTTTCAAAATATATATATATATATAAATTTATTATCGTATGATACATAATTGAAAAAAAAAAGAAAAACTCTCATTGATGAAAGAGATCAGTGCTTGAAAAAAAAAGTAAATTAAAAAATAAGGCTGTCTAAAGGATATTTGCCTTTACAACTTACAAGTATCCTTTGATTATAAAAGATTCGTTTTTTATTTTCTGTAAAAAAATAATATTTAAAAATTATTATTATAATTTAAAATACAGACTTTAAATATTTTTTCATTGACAAAGTCTTATGTGATGTTCTAATTCTTTGCATGGGGGTTGTTCTTACCGTAGCTCGAGTTATGAGAAATTAGTGAGTAGCCCATTAAAAAAATGATTATATTTTATACAGTGATATTATATACTTAACAATTACGCGTATTTTTTACTACACTTAAACTAAAATCTGACTTATAAATAATATATTTATAAATTTATATTTTATATCGTAAATTGATTATATGCTATAGTAAATATTAAATATTTTTTTATTTAAAGATGTAAAATATTTTTTAAGAGATTAAATATTTAAAAAATATAAATAATTTTTAATGCTTTAAAATATAATTATTGTATTTTTTAAAGCATCCATATAAATAAATTATTTTATATTTATTTAAGAATAAAATATTTTATTAAATAAAAATAAATATAAAAATATGATATTAATTTAAAAATAATTAATTAATTTATTGAGATACCTACATATTTTATTTAATGAAAGGAGCATGACGTATGATTAATTAGTCGTAATAATTAATTTATATTTATCATCAATACCTTTTATATATATATATATAAATTTCGTAGCATCCTAGTTTGGTTCGCAAGAATAGGCCTCACCTACCGCGTCGCCAACCCAGCGTCATGGTCGGGCGGAGGCTTCGAGGGCTGCGCTTTTGTGTTTGAAAAAGGAAGAAGAACCTTTTGCTCGCCCCAACCTCCCCCATTCCTTTTCTGATTCAGATCTTCCAGCATGCAGAGCTCAGCCTTCACTCTCTCTCCTTCTCTTCCTCTTCTCAAGTCTCGCCCTCGCACTTCTTCCCGCTTCGATCCCATACGCCTCTCTGCTTCTTCCTCTTCCTCTTCCAAACCCAATGTCGCTTGCTCTTCCACTTCTTTCACGCGCCGATCCTGGTCACTTGCTTCTTCTTCATCCCCTTTTCCCTTCAGGCCCTGGACATCTTTCCCCACACTCACTTCCTCCGATCCCGATGCATCTCCTTTCGAGGCCAGGGCTGCCTCAGTGCCTGAGAGCAGCAGTGAGGCATCCAATAGTATGGCCAACACATTGGTGCTCGGATCCTTGTTTGGTTTCTGGTACCTCTTCAATATCTATTTCAACATCTACAACAAGCAGGTAATCAATTTTACATCTATCTCTTATGCTCTTTCTTCTCGTTTATGTTTACGTGTTATCAATTTGGGATCTGTGTGGAAATGTTACGGATGAATTCTGCATTTGATTGGGGTCTATCCGTCTACTTTTTTTCAAGAAAAGGCGGAGCTTTATGCAATTGTAAGGCATATTCAATGTCCGTTAACGTTGGTTCAAAGTCTCGCATTCCAGTGCGGCTGAAAAATCTCCTTTTAGAGTTGCCCAGTATTGTGCATTATTATTGGAACTGAGCGGAAGCGAGTGACCCGTGGGTGTTCAACTGAAAGCGGATGAATGCGATATATAGTCTCTAGAGGCTTCTTCCGGATATTCATAACCTGGAAATTGCAATTCTTTGTGTGCGAATCACCACACGAGCGAATTCTGCTTGTTTAAACCTTGAAGATATATTTCTCGATGAATACTCTAAATTTGTTTATAACCTGACACTAGGTTACCTTCTTCAATCTGCACAGGTATTGAAGGTGTTCCATTTCCCGCTCACCGTCACTGCAGTTCAATTTGCTGTTGGGACTATCCTTGTATTGTTTATGTGGGGTTTCAATCTATATAAAAGGCCTAAGATCAGTGGTGCCCAGGTTTGACCGATGCCGAGTTAGCTATTGCACAATTTCTGCATTGTATTATTGACTGCGAGTGATTTCTTGGCAGCTTGCAGCGATACTTCCACTGGCTTTGGTACATACCTTAGGGAACCTTTTCACAAATATGAGTCTTGGAAAGGTAGCCGTGTCTTTCACTCACACAATCAAAGCAATGGAGCCCTTCTTTTCAGTGGTTCTTTCTGCCATGTTTCTTGGAGAGGTGAGACTACTATATATTTTTGCTCCCTGGTAATGTTTAATGGAAACGATGAACCTGATGTCTTAACTAATATTTGTAGTGCAGTAACTGCTTTTCGATCTTTTTAACTTGACATTTTTTTAAATTATTTTTTGATATTTGTTGAGAAACATAATATTGCAATATTTTTCTCCAACTCTTCTATAGTTACGTATGTGAGACTGACATTTCGCTTTAAGTAACTTTATTGTTTTCACTGAGTTCATTGGGAATGAACTGTCTCATCTTGATCCACTGTGTCTGTCTCCTACAGTTGCCTAATCTATGGGTAGTTGCTTCCCTAATGCCCATTGTTGGTGGAGTGGCACTTGCATCAGCTACTGAGGCCTCTTTCAATTGGTAAAGCATCCTGCAGCATGTCTTTAATCGTTTAGGCTAAAATGAGAGCAGATGTAACCACGTGGCCTGATTTGAAAGGGAAATACTTGGTCATTTAAATTCTAATAATGTGCTCCTCTTTTTGGAGGAATTTTTTGAAGGGCTGGATTTTGGAGTGCAATGGCATCCAATTTGACAAATCAATCTCGCAATGTTCTCAGCAAAAAAGTCATGGTTAAGAAAGATGTAAGCACTGATCTGTCACTTCTAAGAGTTTTTTTTTTCTTTTTTTTTTAATCTATTTCACCATTCAAACAGAAAATGGCTAACATCTTGTTCTTCTCAGGATTCTATGGACAATATAACCCTCTTCTCAATAATAACTGTCATGTCCTTCTTCATGTTAGCCCCGGTAGCTGTATTCATGGAGGGTGTAAAGCTTACCCCTGCATATCTGCAATCTGCGGTGAGTATCTTTGTGGTTAAATCAATGTGGAATTGCTGTAACTAATGATAGTGGCAATGGCACATCACTACGTTTTCTTTTTCTTTCCTTTCCTTCTTTCGTTTTTTTTTTTCCTTTTTTAATGAAAGCAGGGGAAAACAAAACAGAAATTACAGAGCTGACTTCACAGGCTGTTAGGACAGTCACAAGTTACAACTAATGACATCTTTTTTTGTCCAGAATGCTAATTAGTAATCACGTCATCTTTCTTGACAGGGGATAAATGTGAAACAAATATACATCAGATCACTTCTTGCTGCACTGTGTTTCCATGCTTATCAGCAGGTTCGTTTTCCTCTAATATGTATAACTTTCATCTTTCAACATTTGGATTTAAACGTTTTTGGGTTTTCTAAAATAATAGAATAAGCCCTTGAGCATCCTCTCATTTCAATGAAACCTCTATTTAGATAGTCAAAATATATTTAAGAGACAGTAGGAGAACCACGCTGTCAAATAATGTGCTTGTATCTGTGTCATTTGAAGAGAAATGACCCAAATGACACGGATGCTACTTCCTAGTATCTAACGGTAAATTAAACATCGTCTGCATTGAATCTTAAATCTTACTGGGGTATCCCTCCACTCCCCTCCTGTATATGTTGGCAATTTTGTGGTCGATGTTTTATACTAGGGCACTACTTGGACTTTTTCTTGGACGAGAAGAAAGGATAGTGATGGTCATTGGAGAGAAGGCGAAGCTTTTCCATTTTGTAATATGAGGGAAAAGAAAGCAAAGCTATGAAGAGACACTCTGTACTTGTTATTACCAACAAAAGCCTCCGGGGTTTTCATCCATTATAGCCGTGTTCTTTGAAGATAATATTGCTTATTCTCTGTAAATGTGTTACGCAGGTTTCTTACATGATATTACAAAGGGTGTCACCTGTTACCCACTCTGTGGGTAATTGTGTGAAGCGGGTTGTGGTTATTGTGAGCTCTGTCATCTTCTTTCAAACACCTGTGTCACCCATTAACGCTTTTGGTAAAGTTGCTTCTTTCTGGTTCCGATGGCAGCATTTAAATTAAATCTCATTTTGAGGTTTCCTTGAACATTGATCGGCACCCTTGTTACTGAAACTTGTCACCCCTCTTATTCTTACAGGGACTGGCATAGCTCTTGCCGGGGTTTTCCTCTATTCAAGGGTGAAGCGAATCAAGCCAAAGGCCAAGACAGCGTAATTTTCCGCAGTGAAGTTTTGCTAGTTGCGTATGAATTGTTTCGTAGGTCAGACGGGGAAATCAAGGGTCTTCATTATTTTCCGCTCTCCTTTCTTTATTTAGCTACTTGTGGTATTCATTGTTTGTGGCTGAGTAGCGCCAAATGGTTCTGCTCCAAGAAAACTTGATCATCTGTATTGCTTTTTGAGGAACCACCAGTTTCTTATGGGTCAAATGTATAATGTCCATTCATTTGTCTACGGTTATGCCCGTTGGACTCTGTAGGAAACGAGCTTTAGGTCAAAAATTGGGTTATTGACGTTTGGATCTTGAAAAGTCTAATTAGATTAGAGGAACATCTAATAAACTGCTATCAGTATTCATGTTTTCTCTCTTCCTAGTTTTGTCATAGCATTTTTCTAAAGCATGCGGATTCCGGCATTCTGCCGTACTGACGGATAGTTGTACTTTTAAAGCCTTGCGGTTCCTTCTAAAGCACTTCCTAATATGAAATTGAGAAAATTAATTTTTTAGTTCTTTAACTTTTAACTCACTTGTAACTCAGTTCTTCAGCTATGTCTCGAATTCAGTCCCTCAACTTTTAATTTATTTATAACTCAATCCTTTTTTTAAAATTTTTTTAAATTTTTTTATTAAATAAAAAAGGTAAAAAAATGCTCATATATTATTTTAAAATATTCTCTTCTTATTCATTAATGTAAAATATAAGTTAATATAAAAAAAATTAATAAAAGTTAAGGGATTAATTTGTAAGTGAGTTCTAGTTGAGAGATTAAATTGCAGTGAATTATAGTCGAGGAATTGAAATATAAGTGACTTAAAAGTTGAAGGATTAAAAGATTAATTTTTTCTATAAAATTTATACATTTGTTGAACTTTGGTGCTGGGCTTGTTCATCATGATAATTTTAATTTTTTGTTAAAAGTATGTTAAAATATATTTTTGATCTCCTAAATTACAATTTCCATCTTTGTTTCATAATTTTAATTTTTTTAATTATGCTCCGTAAATATGACTATTTTTTCTCACGAGGAAAAAGTATTACTATTTTAAAAAATTTATTAATTTAACTAAATTAAAAATAAAATGAAGAGGCCAAAATAAAATTATTAATTGAAATAAATTAAAAATTATATGGTTGAACTCCAGAGGTCCATTAGTACTTAGTGGCCTTCACAAACCAAGCAACGGTTCCCCGTTACATGGACCTTACGATTGGGCGAACCTTAGGCCCATTTAGGAATGCTAGCATAACCCAATCAAAATGAATTCAGTTGATGACATTGCTGCCTAAGGAATGCCATGTGGCCATTGACGGGGTGCTGGGGATGATGTGGCATATCATATGCTGGCTGACTCAGAGGGTGAAGAACCATATGATGATGTGGTCGCCATGCAGCCAATGACTTGGACGGCGACAGACTTGGGGATGACATGTCCTGCCATGTGGCAATTGACTCAAATGTGGGCGGAATGATGTGGCTGCCATGTGGTGTTTGACTAGGATGGTAGCAGGGACTAGGGATGATGTGTAGCATGACATGGCAAGCCATGTGGCGAATGACTCAACATAGTGACAAGGTTGGGTGACGATGCTTCTCACCATGTGGGACTGAGTTGGTTGATATGGCCTATAAGTGGTAGATGAGTTAGACAGTGATGTGGTTAGATCATGATGTGCCATGCCACGTGATGGATGGCTCAACAGTGATATGGACTTGAGGCATGCCGTGTCCTAACACGTGGCAGTTGACTCTAACGTGACTAAGACTGTGGGCTGTGACTTACGTGACCTATAAGTGGAGGATGACTCAGACCATGACAAGGAGTTCAGTCTCACATTACATGCCACATGGCAGACGAGTCAGACAATGATGTGTTTTAAGAACAACTTGTTAGGCCTCATTTCATGCCATGTGGTGAATGACTCAAACGGTGATAGGGTTTGGTAGGTCACGTGGATGGCCATGTAGCTGATGACTCATATGGTGATGAGACTTCTAGGTGACGTGTCTAGCTATGGGGTTGCTGACTCGGATGGTGATGGGACTTTGGGATGACGTGTCGTCCCTTGCAGCTACTGACTCGGATGGTGATGGTCACTGGGGATGACGTGAACGTCCATGTGGTTCTCGACTCAGACGGTGTTGGGATTGTGAGATGACGTGTCTGTCCATGTGTATGATTCGGACTGTGACCGGTTCATGTGACGTCGTGTTGGGCCATGTGGCTTGTGACTCAGACATTGACGGGAATGGGTGATGACATCGCTGACAATGTAGGGGTGACTGACCGACTGTTATTATGAGGCAACTTGACGTGGGCAAGTTTTTGGTGGCACCGGCGTTGTCATCTCAATCTACTTTTTCGGCAATAACAGTATTCTGTTCAGAGTCAGCGGCCAAACCTTCGAAGGTACGAATTCATATTTGCTCTTTAATTAATGACGGAAAACTTTGTTTGCAGTCCATGTCTATCTTTCACATTTTTATATTCATATTTTCGATTTTTGTTTAGTTTTGATTTTTGAGTACTCACGTTCAATACACGTTGCATGATGAATAGATTTTAGAAGACCTGAGAAACCCTGCTTTGCATACTTACTTGGAGAGGAAGACGATCGGGAATCTACAAGAATGCTGAGGTTGGTTTCAAAGAGAATTTTGGGAGCAGCTTCTCGGGAGGCGTCGTCGCCGAAGCTTCTGGTTCTGCCCCGATTTTACACCAGAGGGCTGCTGAGGGAACCGGCCATCAGCTGCTTGTAGGGATGACCATGAAACACCCGATTAAAGATGACGGAAAGGCCCAAAATATGGTTGGTGCACTGGCTACTGCTTCTTCATCTGCTGGCACGCGATCCTGCTTTTGTTCGTGACAAATAGTTTAATTTTAAACTGTTTGAATACCTCTTCAATTTCCTGCTACTCTTCTCTTCTCTGTCATTTGTTTCTTCCGGAGGTTTTATACTCAATGATCGCATTATGTCCCCGAAGCAAAGCAGGCACAGACTAGATACACTACATTTGATTTGATTGGTGTTTCTCTAGTAGCTTTAAATTATTAACGTCATTAGCGAGTCACTGGGTTTTGGCATTTGGGGTATCGAAGGTGTAGGGATGGTGACCTGATTTGATTGGTGTTTTTGTTCCTCCCCTTGTTGTAGATGTTTGACTTCTATGAAAATTCCAGTTTTCGTTAAGCTCTCATCGTACTCATTGCCCTATTTTTGACTTGGGTTCTCAGAGTATTCGAGGACTTTGAATTCGACGAGAAGGATCTGTGATCGGAGGAAAGCTTGTGGGATTTAATTTGTACGAGAGCCGGATGAGGCACTACGGAGTTTCTCGAAGTATTGCTGAGAAACAAAGGCTATTTCCTGTGTTCAAAGCCAATGCCGTAGAAGTCCAGAACCTAAACAAGATGAGTTTACCATACGAACTAGAACTGTGAACTTTCTTTCTGACAGTCTCGATCGGAAGTGAATATTGCGTGGGTTTCCCCGAAGAGGATGTCTAAATGTGGGTCCCGAAAAGGCTTTTCAGGGAAAGTGCATGAACTCACCTATCGTTTTCAGGATTTGTGTTTGTCTAGTTGCGGTTACTTTCTAATGTTCATGGAAGCTGTTACGATTTGTCTAGTTGCAGGATTAAGTGTAACGTTGATGGTGCTGAAACTGATATGCAAGACCTTGATGCATGCAGTGGTATATTTCGGGATTCTGATGGTGCTTGGTTAGCAGGGTTCTCTCAGTTCCTACTTGTTCTCCCTTATGACATGTTATCTTTGAATCAGACTGTAAGCAACTGGTTGAAAGTTTCGATACTAGCAACAGGAACAGATTGGTACTCTCTTCAGTTTGGATGAGGATCAATGAGATGATCAAGAAGAATTGGGGATGTTCACGTTCATTTTGCTCAAAGGGAGTGTAATAGAGTTGCTTATAGATTGGAAAAATTTCAGTTTAAGTAATAGGAATTTATTTTCATTTTGTGAGGTCGTTGATTGAAAACGATGCCATGGGATCAATATTCCCCAGTTTATTATGTAATTTTTTTTTTGCTTTTAGGGGTATATCTTCTCTCATTTATATCAAAAAAGAAAAGAAAAGAATCGTTATCAATGCATCGTGATATTATAAGTGAGAGTGGGTAGTGACATGGGAACGCAGTTCCATATATGTATGTATGTATGGTATGTATGTATGTATGTGCCAATTGCAAGTGCCAACCCATTCTTGACAGGGTAACAATTAATGCTGATTGAACAGATCAAAAGCTTCGAAAAATATTTACTTATTTACCGATGTATCTGGTTAAACATTTCAGTCCACGGGCATTTGTTGCTTGTATTTATAATGATTTTTCTTGCTTAAGTTACATAGGTAGTGTACTATAATTTACAATTTCAATGCAACGAGGATGACTATTTTATCACAATAATAGGATGATTTAAAACCACGTGTAACTTGCACACAATTTTATCACCAACAAGAATACTTCAATATTTTGTGCAAAAAAAAAAAAAGAATACTTCAATACAATTTCGTGATATAATAACAATATGATAAATTTTAAATCTGATTAAAAATAAAAGACCTATTTAGAACATATATGTGTGTGTTTTCATATTACTATTATTAATATGATAAACTTCATTGTATAAACAGATTTGAAGATAAGAGGCCTAGAATTAAAATTCTACTTTTATTTCATTCACATAATCCATTAATTTATACCTGATTCGCTTCTTCCAGGTCTGCTTCATCCCATGACTTTGTATGCATAGGTTGAGCTATTCATTTGAGTTCTTTCTTTCTTTTTCTTTCTTTCTTTTTTCTACATAATATTCTCAAATCGTCCTATTCTTTTCTATACTGATTTTAAAAGCACATTCTTCTACATGAATATGAGGCATTTGGAATTTTAACTCTTGAGTTTTCTTTAAAATGTCAAACAAGTTATAAAAGATATACATTTTTTCTTATTAATAGAATAATGAGACACGGGTTATTTATTTATTTTATTGAACAAGCTAGATATATATGAGATACTTAAAAAATAATCTGACTTCTTTAGTTCACATTAGGGACTCTTGATTTAAACACTTTGTCACCCAAAAAAACCTTTAAAATTGTCTTTATTACAACTTTTAATGAAACCGATTGAAAATTGTTAACTCTCGTCAGTTTATTTCACTCAAGCTTTTCAGTTAACTTTTATGCCTAAAAAATGTGGCTTGTTCTATCTCCCTCTGCAGCTTCACCAAAAGCACCCCTCCGAGCTTAATCAATCTTACACGAAGAGTCACATTACCTACATTGATTAGTTTTCCCATCACCAGTTTACAAAGCTTATGGAACAAAATTCATAGCTACACTTGTTCAAACTCTGACCAAGATTGATAGTTAAACCCAGTAGCTTCACCAACTTATCTATGAAGCCGCACGTACTGTATAGAATTTACTCATGTAAACGAATGTTTGACTACAATAATGGTGAAAACATAACGGGAAAGGTATTATACTTGTACTTTATTCATCTTAATGACACTTACCAACGTAGTCATCAAATTAAAAGGTAAATAATATCAATAATGATACAGTGCTGGATGAGGGCACCTTTTTTTGCTCCATTGTTTCAAAATATGAAGCAATTTAGGCCATTGGATGCATCCAAATGAATTAATTGCCATGCAATTAATGCATTCTCATCCTCTCCTATTAAGGAAGATGGCTTGAAACGTTGAAGCTGGCTCTTAGCCTCAATATTTCTGTTACTCTTTCTGTCATGGATCTTCACACAAATCTCAGAGATCACTCTTACACCTCACAGCCAATGCATCTTCAAGAAACCTACCTGAAGCCTAATATGAAATTAGATGATGAATCTCCTTTTGGGGTTCCTAATTCATCATCACAGGGTTTCTTGCAAGATTTTAATTACCATGTTGATCATCATCATAACCAGGTTCACCTTAATGGGTCTTCTTCATCCAACCCAGCTTTTGGGATTCATACTTGGAGTTTTGATTCTTTTGACAATTTTGATGTTTACGAGTGCAAGCCTTTTGTTGAGATCAATAAGGGGCAAGCTCTGATTTTGGATAATACGCAATATGGAGCTAATTGTAGCTTGAACGTCCCTCAGAGAAGTCATCAAGTCAATAAGAACCAAACCTATGTGCCTTCTTTCAATTCTCAGGAAATTACAAAGCCTGTGAATTTTGTTGTGCCAGATGAACTCTCATGCATATACCCTTCCATGAATTATTACAGAAAAGTTGGCTTCATCAATAAGAAAAGTAATAGGGTATCATCGTCTCTAACCAGTACTAGAAGGATGAGTAACAGGCTTCGCAAGAAATCCAACTCTGTAAAGGGCCAATGGACCATAGAAGAAGATAGGTACATACAGTGAGTTTAATTTTCAATGATCATTATCTGTCAATGTTGAACCAAGCAAGCCAGCCGCTCTTTTAGTTAGTTAATTTTGTGTTGCATTATTATATAATGTATATTCTTTGTCCAATTTTTGATTCTGCATGTATATTGGGGTGAAAACAGGTTGTTGATTCAATTGGTAGAACAATATGGAGTGAGAAAGTGGTCTCATATTGCTCAGATGTTGCCAGGAAGAATAGGCAAACAGTGCAGAGAGAGATGGCATAATCATCTAAGACCTGACATAAAGGTTTTATTTTGCCACATTACCATACATTTTTCCTTACTCAGATTCCTATTATAAGAAAATTAAATCAAATCACTTACAGAAATGTCAACCCATGAAGAAGTACGTGAGCAAACACATATTCTTTTCTTTCCATACCTTTTTGGTCAGAGTTCTCTTTCTATACTGTATGGAACTGATCATAATTCATAACCTGATTTCTCTCTTTAATGTAACTTTTGATACGTTCATTCACAGTTAATGTATTATATATCTGTTTTGTATATGCTGAATTTATTGTATGACTTGCAGAAGGAGACATGGACAGAAGAAGAAGACAAAATACTGATAGAAGCGCATGGAGAGATTGGAAACAAATGGGCAGAGATAGCCAAGAGATTGCCAGGAAGAACAGAAAACTCCATAAAGAACCATTGGAACGCGACAAAGAGAAGACAATTCTCAAAGAGAAAATGTCGCTCAAAGAACCCAAGAACCTCTCTTCTGCAAGAATATATCAAAAGCTTGAACTTAGACCAAAACCCACCATTAGACTATCGCAAAGGATCATCATCATCATCATCTTCTGCTGCTACTAACACTGCTGCAACCATAAGAGAACCTGATGAAGCATCTCACTCTCAGTTAATACGTACTGCTTCCAATGAGGATCGATTGGTGGCGAATTGCGGGTTTAAGGAGGCCGAAGAGTTTTGCTTTGACGAGAGCTTTCTCGGAGAAGGTGGGTGCAGCAACATTGAATGTGTGCTAGACGACGACGACGATATGGGTCGTGAGAAGTTTGAAGAAGATCAGAAGGAGGAGCTGGATTTAGTGGAGATGATGTCTCGGGTCAATCAAACTATTATTGATATGTAACGTACGCACCCTGCATTCTAACTCGATGCTGTCCGTTTAATGTTGTTTGTCTGAAACTTTGCCTCACTGTTTTATGCTCCTTGTTATTGTGGGAGCAAATTTAGATACAGACACAGGAATAACGGGTTCCCATTTATCATTCGACACCATATACGCACACACACGAGTGAATTATAATAGACGTTATTAATTTATTGAACTTTGATGAAATTATATAGTTGACTTTTTTATTTTTAAAACCCAGACAGATATTTCTTAAATTTTGTTAATATATTAAACCTACTTATGATCACTTTTAAAGTTACAAACGTTTTTTCCCCCCTGCGTTTGGCATTTTGTTTGATGACAGTATACATATGGTCCCTATACATACAAACAAATGTCATCTTAAGAAAAGGGGAGACATGTAAAATCAGTATGTATAATTTATTCTTTATTTTTTAAAAAAATTATAAAGTTTGAAAATAGAAGAAAGAACTATAATTTAAATAAAACCCTTATATAAGTTATTGTAATTTAACTTTTCAAGAAAATATGTGTTCAAAAAAATTCAGACAATTCTTGTTTAATTTTCTCTCGATGTGTATGTATGATTATGAATATGATCATTCCAAATTTTATGATGAACTTAGTGGAAGATTTAAAATTTGTAAATCTTCATCATTTAGATTCAATAGTTTTATCAATATATTTATGCAAAATAGAAGCTAAAGTCAACCTCTTTTAAAACTTGGGTGCAACTTTATATAGTTCTGGTAATATGCCTATGTATGAATTAGCTCATTAAGTATACTTTAATGACCTCAATAAATATATGGCATGTTTAAAGAAATTTATTTATGTCTCTAATTTAAGATTAAGGTGGCTGGCTGGTAGCCATCCATGAATTGGGATCAGTTGTGGGAAAATGAAGGGGTAAAATTGAAAAATCATGGTACTATTAATGACCTAGTTAAAATTCCGTTAAATAAAATTTAATTTTTTTCTTTTTTATTAATTAACGTATACCTGAATTAAATATCTGCGCCCGTTTAAAAACATAATAGTTTATTGGAATTTTTGGGATACGAAACAAAATGTTTTTCCTTCGGTATTAAAAAATGTATTTTAGAAATCCAAATTGAAAATAAAAATTGTGTGCTAGTAACTTTTAAACGTTTACTACGTCTAATAATTAAATTATGATAAATATAAAATTTTCTTAAGAAGATTGATTATTTTATTACTAAAAACATACATTTGTTTGACAACATAATATTTAAACGACAAATAATACAAGAAAGTTTATCAAACTTAAAAGTTTTTATTTACTGCCGTTTTTGACCTGTATCGGAAATATTAGATTCCTAATTGATTTCGTCAAACAAATTTTTATTTGTTTGGAAAAGACTTTAAAAAAAATTTAAGACAATAATAAAGTGAGAGTTGATACTTTTGGCCAGAACTCAGAAGTGAAAGTTGATACTTGATACAGTCGATATTAAAAATCAATATTAATACGAAATATATTCAACCAAAAAAATGTAATAAGCCGCTCCACACATAGAAACCTACCCGCATAGGCAAATAACTTTACAAAGCTTTACTTTCAAAAAGAAAACAGAAAAAAAAAAAAAAAAAACTTTACAAAGTTGGGTTTTTACTTTTTACGAACACACGCTGAACAGGGTTGTACCTTTTAATATTCTTTTGCTTCTCGATAATCGAACGAATCGCTGGTCCCACCGGGTAAACGTGGAAGAAAACTTGATCCAAAATTAAAATCATGGGAAGATTAGAGAAATCAAAGATATTTGACCCCAAAAAAAGAAGATAAGAGTTAGTGAGTTACCATAGCAGTGCATGAATGCTCTGAATGAGATAACAAATTGAAGACACAAGATGGTGTCGTATCTGCGGGTAGAGGAGAGAATGACATCACTAGAATTTGATAGACCATATTATGGAGATGGAGACAGTGGGAAGTGAGTGTGCATTCCACTAGCTTGTGTTTCTTATCCCTCTATCTTATATGGGTCCTCTCTTCAACCCACACTCCTACGCAATCTGTGCCAGTTTCCATAATGCTCAAAATATGGCGCCAACAAAAACATCATGCTCTGTCTGTCAGACACCATTCATCATGCTTGTTTGTACATTTTCAAGAGTTAAGTGCAGAGTTTAAGCCTGATGACAAATATACTGATGTCACTTCTTGCCACTTTGGCAAGGCGTGCCGACTAAGTCATCACTCGAAGAATAAGATTTACCTAAAATTCGTGATGTCTTCTACCAAGTTTTCCAATATGAAAATATCCAGAATATTTCTTTTTTACGATCCTCAATCATGTGATATTGACTGATTAAGATATTTATTATATTTTAATTCATAATAACAGATAAGAGCAGACACTTAAAAAATCCCGTACGAAATTTTGTTGTCATTGAAAAGTAGGAGATGCAAGTCTGTCTTCCCCGCTCTGATCGACCTTGTACAAGAGAGCTCACCTTGAGAGTATATTACTGGACAGGAGGATTACTTCGCTTTCAAACTCATGGAGTTATACTTTGAAAAAATTATATCTGGATCCTATAAAAAAAAAAATTATGATTAAGAGGTCTTATAAAATTTACAAAAAGTTGTGCCAAGCTGTAGTCGCCCTTGATTAAATTATAAATATACAGGATTTGAAATTTTAAAATATTTTTTTGAATTTTATGAGGCTTTTTTTTTTATATGAAACCTGTGTATAATTTTCCAAATTACTTTTGGTTCGTCCAGATCTTTACGTCCCTCATCCTGTACAGCTAAAGCAAAAGCATAATGAAAAGCAGGTGTTACAATGGCTTTGAAGTTTGAACACCTCCTTTGCCACCTACTTGAGATCAATACCCCGAAGCAGTTTTAACATGGGTTCGTCTGCGTTGCTGAGCACCGAGCTGCTCATCAGTCAACCAGAATCTGGGCCATTCAGATTTTTTTTTTTCATTTTAATTGTAATTTTATATTTATTAAAATAAAAATTTATAATTTTTTGTAAATATGTTCATTATCTGGATAATACTGGTCTAATTTAAATAGTCTAATTTAATATTATAATTTTTTAAAATTGACTATTTATATATACTTTGACAATTCAGATTCAATATTAAATTTTTATCTGGGAGGTCAAATTTAAATTTTTTATTTTTTATTTTGATAAATATAATATTAAAAAATAAAATATACAATCTTTTAACTATGACTTGTTAAAAAATATTTTTTAAAAAAATTACAAGTCAAAAATTTTAAATTTAAACAGTACAAAATACATTTAGGTAGTCAATATATAAAAAATATAAAAATTTTAATATTAAATAAAACCTCCAAATTAAATATAGACTAAATTAGTCATGAAAAAGTTTATTAATTTTTTATAATTTTTATAAATTTTTATTTTAAAACATATTAAATTAATTTTTTAAATTTGAACCATTCAAATTAACAATGAATGATCCAGATTGGGGTGATGACCACTCAAGATAAATCCGTTGTAACATATATGTACAAACAATTCAAGGTGTGTGCTGACAAGTCATTTCAAAACTACACCATCTTCCTTTTTAAAAGTAAAAAGTCAAAGAAGAGGGGGATACATGATGGAATTTATACAACAGATACCATCATCATCTATGTTTTCCACGAAAATAATTGTGAGTAAAAAGGAAAAAGTGAACCACTTGAAGCTCTGTTAAGGTCCTTCGCATATTTAACTTAATGATTCTTCGAAAAGTAAATTTGGCACTAACCATCCATAGGCGACTTCATTTCGCCAGAGAACAGTGATATCAAAGCATATCAACCCTCTCTTTCTATATCCCCTTCTTCAAATGTAAACTGCATAAAATTTAACCAACGCAGATAGCTCAAATATTGTTTCCATCAACATAAAACATCCCTGCCCATCTACATTAACAAGGAACAATGCAGTCAAACAACAAACTACGGTAAAACTTTAGAAGAGAAGAAATAGAAATGTAGAAGATTGCCTTTCATTACATGTATAAAGCACAAGACCTCTAGAGCACCACTTACAACTATTCTCTACAGTCTTAAAGATACCATTTCAGCTTGAAGACGAAGCATTAATATCTTGTCAAGGAATTGAAGACCCTGGACTAGGAGTTTGCTTTGACATGATCTCTTTTTTGGGTGATCCTAGGCTGCTTTCCCCTCTCAATTCAGTAACTCGAGGGCTGTGCATCCTTCGCACTAGCTGTGGACTATTAGCAGGTCTTATATCACCAAATGAAGTTGGTGTTGAACTAGTTGTTTTCGGGCTGTGGATGCCACGAATCTCCCCACGGCTCCTAGTAATAATCTCATCAAGAATTTCCCCACCACTAACGTTGACAGTTGTTGCCGGAGTTTGACTACTTGGATCCTGTCAGATATCAAAACAACCAAAAAGCTTTGACAGACACATGATATAATACTAGGTTGTCTGATGTCATTCTATAATGGTCTCGGGCCAAAAAATAATGTCATTCTATAATGGTCAGTGAAATTATAGATGGAATAAATGACACGATCTACTTACTTCAAATGCCATGTTGAAAGCAACAGCAGGCGCTTCCTCGTAGGCTGCAGCATCCAACTCTTGAAGATGTACTCCTTTAAGAAACTTAGGAAGGATATATTGGCGTGCTGGGACAAGAAGCATGATTAACAGCGGGAAAAGGACCCCAGCAATTGGTATCCAAGTTACACCAAAGCATGCAAGCAAGTAAGCTGTTTGTAACAGAGTAAACATGGCAACTGTTTTGAAGGGCACAGTCTCAATAGAAGTTGCATGCATTTTCTCCAGCACCCTAGTAAAACAAGGGGAAGATAAGAGTCACTATCACCTTCGCATTCTTTAGTCAGAATTGATCATGTTAAGTGCATGCATACATATAAATAATTCACGGGTATGTGTGTATTTGCATGCATCTATAATCAATTATGCACACATGCACTATCCCCATTAGCTATCACCCACACATATTGATTGAGAAACAAGAGATAAAGATGCATGTTCTTTATGCACCAAAACTAGGAGGTTGATGCGGGAAGGAAATTTTATGACGCCACTTAGTTCACAAGTCACAGAAAGTTTAGGGAGTAGCAATGAAAAAATTGCAATTATGTACATGTATCTTCGATTTGGAGCGGTTAACAGAAACAATATTCTCTCCCAGAACTGATTTCCTGGCAGACTCTCTATAGCCATGAAAGCAAAGTAGCCCCACAGGACTGAAGTTGGTATCTTCTTCAAAACAGGCATAGCAGCAACACAACCACCAACCATCAATGCCTGTAGCAGATTGCTGAGGCGCTGTTCTTTAACTTCAACAGGCAAAAGATCATCAACATCCTTGTCCACATCAAACACTATCTCATCAACAGGGGCATCCACGTATCCTTGAATGGAAGCGAGTTGGATGGTGGACTCCTTCAGCCCTTTCAACCTCTGCTTGGAAAGAAAAACAATGGTTAGGATAGAATATCAAAGTTTTAAAATCCACATGAATCTATATGACTACATTTACCAGAGCAGGTGGCATTTGATGGACCAGTGGAGTGTGCATTTCATCGTATGCTTCTTGCATATTCTGGTACAACTGGCCTAGGTTCATATTTTTCCGCATACTTTGTTGTGCAGTTGATATAAGCTTTCTCCTCAAGAGCTATTTCCAACCAAAAAAAAAAAAAACAAAATAAAATCATATGGGATATATTTATCATATATATATAAATATATATCCCAGCCATAAGCAAAGAATAACAAAATGGATGATACAGACTTTACAATGTAGCAAGTGAAGCAATGACATGTGAATAAGATGATCTGTTGTTTTAGAATGAAGGAGACGGAAACAGGTGGGATGAGTGACAATATTGAATGCGACTTTATACTAACGGCATGCATAATCCAAGAAAAGGCAAAATAAGAATAATATGCAAGACAGGGATAATCATTCAATAACAAAAACTGATTTGAATTACATGCTTGAACAAAAATAAAAGACAGTTTATCTTTTTTTAATCTGATAAAATATTTGCATTCAAAGGTTAGTAAAGTTGATAATACCTGATGTTTCAGAGTAGCTAAGCTTTTTGTATGCATTGGAGATTGTGGAATGACCCCATTGGAAGGAGGGATTCCAATAAGCCCACACAACAAAGTCTGGCGAGAAATTGGAAGAGTTTACCAAAAAATCATTAATTTGTTATATGTACCATAGAGGATATTGTTAGCTGTTAGCTGGAATAGCAATAAAATTCATTATCTCAATTAAATGACTAACCAAAAAGCCCAAAAGAAGAAGGTCGTAATGATAGGAAGAAGGTTTTCTTAGATTGAACTCCTTCTGCTGTGCAAGTTGTGATGCAACACTGTGATCAAAGTAGTAAAGTACAGCAATCATAGTTGCTGGTATAAATGCTCCAATAATATACACAGCAGGAACATCCAACATTTCCTGCACAACATAACAAACATGAGCACCCAGCCACACTTTTGAGAGGAAAAGCTAGAATGTGGTTTTCCATACAGTTAAAGCATTCATTGCACTCAACAAGAGATATGTACGCTTTAAATTTCAGAATCACCTTGATAACTGTCCAATTTGAGTATGCACCAGGAGACCATGGATTTGGACTGAAGAGTCGCCTTGGGACCCCTCTTGGGACCTCATTAACTGGTATGTAAGATACAGCAGTCCAAACTAACACCAATAGTGGGACTCCATAATCAGCTATAAATCCCCTAAGCCAACCTATTTGACCACATTTAATAGGATGGGAAAATTAAAAATAATTAATCACTATGCTGCAGAAACAAATTAACAGAATGCATAGAGGAAGCAGACCACAGAACATGGATGTGGTTAATTTTAAGTCAAGTCAAACTTGTGGCCTATCATGTTAAGTATAATAAGTTCCTTCCAAACTTGTTAAATAAGTATAAGTATAACCAATACCTGTCCCATAGCGCCAGGATCTGGCTTTGCGACTTTGCAGTGCTGTCAGAAGAAGGCCAAATGACAAAACCAAAGCAAACATTCCATTGCCAAACAGCCAAGATGGTTGGAGTGCAATCAAACTGGTGCTTTCTCTCTGATTCTTGGGTACACCAAACTCTTCCACAAGTCCCTTTAAGATGGAGATTATAAAAATTAGAAACTCTGCCATGATGGGTGTTTTTTTTTTTTTAATAAAAAATTAGAAACTGGGTTCCAACAAAAACGATGTCAACTGCTTGTGGATACAGGTTGCTGTTTGTGAATCAAATTATCAAACTCAGACTACTCAATAAAAATAGTTTTTGGATAATGTTCACAACAAGAATTTTAGCAACCGTTGTTCCACTAAGAATCTACCACTTGATATGGATGAGCGCCAGCATTTTTACCCTTATAGCCTGCTGCATAAAGAGCATAGCAATAAGCAGACCAAATAATTCCCCAGCAATGCGTGTGAATCTGTTGATTATGGAGCATGCACCAAGAATAGCCAACAAAAAGAGCAACAAGGCTGTCCAAACACACACCCTGAAATCAACAAATTGAAGAGAGTTACACCAGTTCCATATTAATCTCATTCCAATTACACATAAAAACCATCAAATAACCACCGAAGAGTTCAAAAATACCATCCAGTCCAAGGAAGGAAGAGTTTGTGACCCAAATCCTCTCTATCCTTAGCAAAGTTATACATAAATGTATACATCAGAACTGTTGGCTCAGCTACACCGAGAATGAGGAGAGGTTGCCCTCCAAGGATTGAATGGATAACACCACAGAGTGCTGTTGATGCAAGAGTCTGCACTGCAGTCAGAGTTCCATCTGCAGAATATAATTCAATAAAGCTTTTTAGAGAATGGCCATCAAAATACCAACAGACCATTGTCACTCTGAAGATTGACCTTTTACCTGTATTTCTATCCAGTTGCTCTCCAAAAGAAATAACTGGAATTGCTGAAGCAAAAAATATGTATGTGGTTGGGGCAAGAATCCTGATTGACACAGTATATGAATTAGGAACTTATTAAAAAAAAAGTCCCTTGGTGATTCATGAGCAAATATGAATTTGTATCTTTAGAAAATATCAGAACATACAAAACCATATTATCATCTACTTGGAAATTACAATTATGCAGAATAAGAAAATCACAAACCTTATACCCGCTAGGAAACCACTTGTCCAATCTTCTTTGTAGCATACAATTCTTCCTTTGAGGTCATTCTTGATCCCTTCGAAGGGAACAAATGTTTCTTCCATATGGTGGGGTATAACAAGTATAAATACAAATCCTTAAGTTTTGGTTTGAAATAAGTGCGTGGACTTCAGAGGCAAAATAGTGATTAAAGTTGCATAGATAAAAATGCTTAGAAAACTAAAGGCAGGGAGACGTGAGTCCGATTGATCATCCTAAGGTTTGAATCGGAAAATTGGAAAAAAGGCGTGTTCACTTGTTAATTGATCTAGTCCATCAGGTCCTTGAAGGGGAAAATGAATAAAAGAATCCAAATGAAGAATTTACATGTTGGAGAACTAATGAGAAGAATATTTTGATATAATGTTATCAAGGACCAAAGAATAAGTTAGACAAAGAATCAAACACTACTTGGATTGCATATCCAGAAAACTAATTAAGTTAACGAGATGCATAGATGCTCTCCAATAGCTAGAATGAAGACTACCCCCGAAACATGACACAGCCTGGACCCATAGTCTCCTCGTTCTCAAGAAAACCAGACAGGCCTTCCATTAATCACCAAGGTAGAACAAATGTAAGCCTGTAGTAGCAAAGAAGCAGTAGTCCAGTTACATGGTACACTTCACTCACGAAAACCGACGCTAATCGAATTCAATCTCTAAAGCCAGCGCTTCGGAAGGAAAGCAAACCGAATTAACGAGGAGGCATAGTAGCAACCTGCATTTGATTTGACTACATCACCTTCAGAAGAATGGGCATTAGCGGATGAAATAAGACGAAGCCCGACCCATATGAAGAAATAGAAAGATTAACGAGATTCCATGACTTAAAAACTATGACAGGAATGATTCAGAAGACTTTTGCTGAACCGGGCATTAATCAAATAAAGGTAAGTTACATTATTCGGCAAGAGAAGGAAGGAAATGAAGGGATTGGAGCAGTCAAGTAGAGATGAAGAGAGATTGAAGTTACATTAAAATGAGCTACAAGAGAAGAGAAGTCTATCGCAGACAAGATTCAGAACCCACTAGGGCGAAGGAGGCAGGAAGGATTGCCGAGGCAACAAAATGAGCAAAGCGAGAGAAAGGGAGATAACCGTGAAATGATAGGATTTTCTCGTGACCATGAATCTGGCAAGACCAACCATATATATAGGGGTCTCGAACTGACCGCGAGACGAAAGAAAACCGTGAATGAGGTTCCTCACAAACAAGCATACTACTGCAGTAAAAGATGCACAAAACAGAAGTCTTCTCTCTCTCCCTTTTTTTTTTAAGTGAAAAGCGGCAATTCATTCATTCATTAACTCAAAAATCACACGACAAGAAAAATTATCTCAAAAATCAACTTTACAGCCACAAGAGAAGGCCTTAAAATAGGAAAACCAGGCCAAAAACAATTGCTATCCGGTGTGCCAGCGCGCTGCGGGTTCGAATCTGGAGAGGAATCTCTCCTTTTTTTGCCCTTCATTTCTCCCCATTTTTTCAGTGCTCCTCACCATTCATATTATTTTATTAAATAATTTTTTTAATTATAAAATTAATAAATGGTGAGGATTGGAAGAATGAGGGAATAAAATGGAGTCTCCGTTCGGATCCCAGTACTGCGTCTTTCTGACATTGTGACTGTGACGTATGTATGCACAAGTGTATATAAAATAGTCTTCTCTTTTGAAGTTATTTGAGAACCATTTTCATGTTTTCTTTTTCCATTTGAGTTTCTTTCCGTTCAGATGTGTTTGTTAAAAGAAAGAGAAGCAAACGCTGCAATCAATGTTAACATTTATACCTTCATATCTTCTTATAAGATACTCTCTTTGTTAAAAAATTTAAAGTATTTTTAATTAAATTTTACCTTTTAATAAAATAATTACCTATTTTTAAATTAATTTCATCTTTTTATATTTATCCTTATTAAACACCTATAATAAATATAAAATTATTATCAATGGGAGCACTTTTGAAAAAAAAAAATAATTACACATCAAAAGAATAAAAATATTTTAAATTTTTGAACATCCAACCTAAAAAAATGTCTTATGTTTTTTAATAGAGGGAGTAGCTGTTAACTATTTTCTAGATTGAATACATTAGTTAAAATTAGTCTGAGTGTTGAAATTTTTTACAAACTTTCTAAAATTACTTTTAGATAGGTACTATAACTCATTGACGAGAGGGGATGGAAGAAGTGATTAATGAAAAATAATAATACAACAGCAGCTACTTATACTTTGATTGAGTTGTGTTTTTTATTTCCTCATGCTTTCTTTCATTGTTTTCACTTCTTTTAAGTTAGTCTGTTTGCAAGTCTCCATGATTTTAAAAATACCCATAAAGACTATAAACTTGTGCTATAAACTTGACTGTCATGCGTGTTTAAGTTTGCCTTCATCTCCCGCGTTCTGTTAAATACAAATATACAAGGAAGCTTTTTTTGACCTACGAGTCTCAAGGTCTCAATTGCAATTGTTTTCAACTGTGAAAGGACTGAACTGCCCTTAATAAGTGAGAATATTTGTGCTCATGTTGACCGGACAAAATTAACAACCAAAATTCAATTATTTATAATAAGAAGTCTGTTTATTCACGAGAATCTACTTGAGTTTACACTTGTACTTAGAAAATTTACAAGTTGACTAAATAAAATTAACAACAAAAAAATCATTAATAATAAAAAATGTCTTATCATTTACAATATAAAATTCTTTCATTTACAAGAGTTTGTGTTGGCTCACACTCGTGCTTCAAAACATTTACAAGTTAACCAAATAAAATTACAACAAGAGGTTCGTAAAATATTAAGAAAATTATAATTATTTTTAATAATAATAATAATATTCATGAAAATTCATATGAGTTTATATTTGCATTTGAGGAAAAGAAAATTCACAAGTTAACCAATAAAAATCAACAATAAAATATCCATAAATAACAAGAAAAGTTCAATTTTTTGAAATAAAAAATATGTTTGTTTACTTAAAGTATTCCGTGTGAGTTTACTTAAAAGTAGTTTAGTTTTTTCACTTTTAAAAATAATTGTATCTGAAGCATTTGAGTCTACATTGTGAATGTGTTCCTTAGGTGAGCCTTGGATGTGATTCTCCTTATTTTTAATCACGCATAACCATGTTATTATCATGTTAACATATTTTTACTATGTCAAAAAAGGAGTTAAGAGAGTTACAATATAATCAACTCCGTTCGTGACAACTCATGATTGTTACATGCAATCATTAAATATGGACACAGATATTTGGATCAAATTAAAGGAATTGAAAATAATGAAATAAAACTATAAGAACTACAAACAAAACACAATTAAAATATATGGATCTATTATTATAATTTCACAGGAGCACCTAGTGTTATAATTTCTTTATTGTGGTAATATTACTTTTGAAGTAATTAAATCATAACAATGTTATCATTAATATTGGACAGATAAATTTGACTCGTTAATTTGACTAACTCAAGAATAAATTTGACTCAAATTATAATAATGAATTAAATGGTAACTTTTATGGCTAAGTATGCCAGCAAGGGAGAGAATAGGGAGATGAAGACAAGGACAACAGCCGCAAGAGGTGGAGGAAGAGAAGAAGATGAAATGCTAAGCACGGTGGAGCTCTTCTTTGTCATATTTGTGATGTCTTTGACCATGGATCACGGCGGACAATGGCACAGGTATACACCAAAGATGGTGATGCACGATGCAAAGTGAAGGCCCGAGGGTGGAGATAGAGGAATCAATATTTTTTTTAATAAAATATAAAAATTATATATTTTTAACTCCTTAAATTGACACATTATAGAAGTTTTGATATATTGAATAAAATTCTCATTTCAATTTTATAGTAATATTTTACACAAGCATGGTCCAACTGTTGCAAATAACTCAAAGATATAATTGTCATTGAATTTATTTATTTTCAACAAGATAACATTACAGTTGCTCTTAAAATATTGATATCATTTGATTTTATTTTTATTTTATACTTAATAACAGAAATTATAAAAATTATTATCAACAAACTTTATAAAACATTGCAATAAAAATTTTAAAATATATTGAACGAAGAACATGTCAATTAAAAGAATTAAATAGAAAATTTAATAAGTAAGTAATAGTGGTTTTATATTGAATAGAGTTTTAGCTCTTAGTAATGCATTCAAATCATTCAATACTTACAAAGAAGATCAAATATTCTCTAATTTAATGGTAGTTTATGTTGAAAAATAAAATTTTAAAAAATTTATCATAAACATGATAATTCATTATTCTTACACCATGTAAAATTAATGAGTAAAACTTAAAAAATAATATATATATATATATATATATTTATTATATACTCCTATATATATGTAAAATTAAATATAAATATATAGATTAAAATATTTATATTATGTTGATAATATACTCCATCTGTTTAAAAATAGAAGGCATTTTTTAAGAAGTTGATTGTTTAAAAATGTAAAATATTTTTAGTCATTCGAAGTGTAATCATTGTTTTTTTCTAAAAATGTCTCTATTAATAGTGATTTTATATTTATTATAAAATATTTAATAAAAATAAATATAAAAAGATAAAATTAATTTAAAAGTAAGTAGTTATTTTATTAAAAAATAAAATTTAATTAAAAATATTTTATATTTTTAAATTAAATGAATATATAAATTTGATCTTGCAAGGCCGACAATGATGGCGGGCAAGAAGGTCGATAGGTCTCATATTGGTGAAGGACAAAATAGGCAACCCGAATATTTTCCCTGGTGGGTCCAGCTCTAGAAATGAATTTCCGAGTTCATCGGGAAAATTTTGATTCCAAGAATTAAAATTCATCGAACCAAACCACAGAAAATGACTTTTTCCGCTCTCTCTCCTTTTCATATTCTCAAATCCATGCGAACCAAAGGTGACCTAAAGTCTGGATAATTAAACACAAGGCTTCCAAGTCCCACCTCTAGTTTTTATGGTGAAGTGTTTTTCTTTAATAAATAAGGTGTGAATAAGTTTTGGCCACAAAAAAAGTGTAAGTTAGATTTGAGAGATTGGTTAAAATCAAAGCCAAAAGTATTAACAAGATATTCACATTGGTAAGAACGAGATTCCGATACATTTTATACCAGGCTTTGTTGGCTGAAAAGTTATCTTTAATGAACTAAATTAAAAGGCTATCAAAAAAGGAAATCATTTATATACTTGAAGTTCAATTAGGTGATGAAAAATAATAAACGCAGGGAATATTCAGCTGAAGACATCACATGTCAAATGAGAAATTTTTAAATAGTTCCGGTGCCTCACATCATCTAAATAAAATTTAATGTAACATTATTTTAATTAATTTTATTCTTATAATAAAATGTCTATTTCTATTATCATTAATATTAAAATTAACTTATATTTAATATCATTTAAATATCATATTTTTATTAACCCTCACACCAGAGTATTAATTATAAACCCAAATACGATGACACGTTTTCACGCTCTGTTCACAAATTGTTCATTCAATCACGTTTTATATTCCGTATTTCATTCTTCTTCTTCTTTTTCATAACATACTCCTCTGTTCCTACAAATAGAATAGAGAAAACAGATTTTTATTTTATTTATAAATCATCTCATTAAATTTTCATTACAAATGTATCTATTTAACCTTCATTAAATGTTGAAAGAAAAAATATATTATTAAAATATGTATACTTAATTAAGGTAGAGTTAAAAAATTATCAAATTTATAAACAGAATTAATGAGTTTTAAAATTTTTCATGTATTCCGATAAATATATTGAATATGTTTTGTAAATAAGACCACATCAGTAAACATTAAAATAATTAAGAAATCACATTAATTATAAATTAAAATAAACGTGATCCGCTTCAAACTCGATCGGTACAAAACATGGGTTCACCGTTCACAGTCTGTATATTTTTATTATATTTAATTTGACAAGTTTAAATAAATTATTTCACGGAAAATAGAATTTCTTTGAAAAAAATCCGGCCTTTCCTTAAAGGGACAATCGCACACGTATGTCTGAATTCGGGACTTTATAAGAAGATTAATGGATCGGATTCCTTGATTCATCTTCCAAAGCGGATCATGGATTCATGCAGCCTTTTATTCCATTTCCCTTTCACGCCCCACTATTGCAATTGTTGTTGTTGTTGTTGTTCTCATACTATTATTATTCGGCGTTTCTCTT